AACATTTGCATCAATGACCTCCAATGAGCAAAGTTGTTGCCACAAAAGAGAGGAGGGCGATTTGCGGATCGACCTTGAGCGAAGCCTCCATCACCAATGGAATTCATCTTCACAGATTGTTAGATCTTTACGTGAATACCTGCTCTGATACCAAATTAAAGGATCACAATGGTAATGGAATAAACATATTACTACTCTAGAAGGGGGGGGGGCGTTGAATAGAGTATGGGCGTTTTTCGCAAAACAGAAAATGTCAAGGCCTTGAGATCAGTTACAGGGCGGAATAAACTGATCTCTGTTTTACAAATCAAGACTTTGAAAACTATTTAAAGTAAAACAGTTAGTAAGCAGAAGGTTATAAATGTTTGTTTTGGATTTTGCTAAAACTATTTAAAACAAAGAACGAAAGCAAGAATAAGGCAAAAATAAAAACAGAAATAAACACAAGGAATTGTTACGAAGTTCAGCACAAAGGCCTACGTCTCCGCCTAGGGTTGTCCAACCCGTAGGATTTTAACCAACTTTTATTTCTTCCTTTAGAGTTCTAAAGCAACCTAGAAGATCTCACTATCTTCTCTCCGTAGTACTTCCCACTACACCTTAAACACTCAAATCCTAGAAATAAAAGCTAACACACTCAAACAACTTCGAGTATTATAATTTTACTACGAAGTGTATCACTCAAGTATTACAAAGTTTAGCACAAGTGAACACTCGTATTTTCCCCTCACTTTTAAGTAATGAAAAGTAGTAAACAATGAGAGAATTAAAGCTCTTAGAATAGCACAAGACTTCTTGAAAATCTTGGATGATGAAACCGGCTGATCTTCATGCTATTTATAAGGCTTTGAAGCTGACTTTAAAACGTTGCCAGCAGTCTCTGGGTCTTCAACAAACTCCAGAAATTTCGAAGCTTTCAAATTCAAACTTCAAAGCTGCTTTTAAATTCAACGTTTATCTTCCAGCTAGAAATCTGTTACAGCATACTTAGCTTCCTAAAAACCAGGTCAGCAAGCACAAGTAACAACAATATTTATCTTAAACAGAAATCTTATCATATTCAGAAAAAATTCAACAACCAAATAAGATAAATAATAAGCTAGATAAATAAATACATTTGACAGAAAATATTATCTTAGAAACATAAAGATAAAATCAGTTACTTAAAGAATAATAAAAACATAAACATGCTTATAGCAGAATATACGAATAGGTTAGCATACTTAGCAGGATATATTCGAATATAATTTGACAGAATCATAAAATAAGCTAAGATAAATAAACTAAACATATTAGCATATTAAATAAACATTGACTATTCATTTTGACTTCCATCATCCAATATAAAACTAAGTAGGAATATAAACGAAACAACAAGGGAAACAACAAGGTGGAGTCATCATGGATCATGCTTGTACTAGAGCGTTTTTGGTGGATACTGATTGGATCGCTAATAAGAGTAAGAATCTTGAGCATTTTCAAAATATATGTGATCCTGCTCGTGTTGTATTGGAGTGGAGTGTCACTGATTTGCCTGTGAATTTGCCGAGTTATGCGAATTCTAGTTGCGTTAATAAGGCTCCTAGTCCTGATGATGCTGGAGGATATGTTTGTCGTTGCAAAGGCGAGTTTTATGAAGGCAATCCTTATCTTCCCAATTGTTGCCAAGGTATGTATGACAGTATTTTCTAAATTTTAAGTTTATTGTTTGCACGAAAATTTATTAGAAACATAATAAGGTACGAGTTAAAAGAAAAAAAAAAGGATGGATGGATGAAAAAAAATGGATTTCAAGATTTTTGTAGTCTTCCTATAACTTGCTGAATTTTTTAAAATTCTCATCAAGTCAATTGAGTTTATTAATATGGTTTTTCTATATATTACCATGAAGTTGTTAGAGGATGTGAAGGTTGCGTACAAGATTGCATCTCTCTTGGAAATCATACCTTTGGTTGTCCTCAAAAGCCAGAAAAGGTGAACACAACAACAATAGCAGTTGGGCTTGGTAAGTATTTCAATCCATCAACAACTTATTTAAAAATCTCTAGTTATACAACTATGAATATGAAAATATAACTAATGAAATCGTGATATGGAATATAACGCATGCATTAAGTCATCATTTAGTTGACATTTTATAAATATGAAGTATAATAAAAAGTAGAAATTTCTAAGAATCATAAAATGGAGTTGTTTGGTTGGCGAAAATTTCTAACTCCTAAGAAAAAGAAGATTGTTGCATCTGTTTCATTTTCTCTAGGATAAATACGCAATCATATTGTCATCTACCGTATTAAATTATTACTGTTCTCTTCATATTTTTGATTTTTTCACTTGGACGGTTGATATGAAGGACTAAAGATAGGCAATACTAAATTAGCAAATATGTACACCGTGCAGGACTAGGCATTAGCATTGTACTAGTACTTGCTCTAGTTGGCGTATATTGGTTGTACCATGTACATAAACGAAGAAGAAACAATAGAATCAAAGCTAAAAACTTTGAAAGAAATGGTGGTCTATTATTGAAGCAACAAATGTCTTCCGAAGACAACAATGTTGAGAAAACAAGAATTTTAACTTCGGATGAACTAGAAAAGGCAACTGATCAGTATAATGTAAATCGAATAGTAGGCGAAGGAGGGCAAGGTACTGTCTATAAAGGCATGTTAAATGATGGAAAGCTCGTCGCTATAAAGAAGTCCAAGAAAGTAGATGAAAGCCAATTGAATGTATTCATCAACGAGTTGGTAATTCTATCACAAATTAATCACAGAAATGTGGTTAAGCTAATAGGATGTTGCTTAGAAACAGAGGTTCCTATGTTAGTTTATGAATACGTGTCGAATGGGACTCTTTAGCAAAATATACATGCTTTGAAGGAAGACTTCCCAATCACTTGGGAAATGCGGTTACATATAGCCACAGACATAGCAAATGCTCTTGCATATTTGCATTCGTCATATCTAATACCTATATTTCATCGCGACATCAAGTCTTCCAACATCCTCTTGGATAACAAATACAGAGCTAAATTATCAGATTTTGGAATATCGAAGTCAGTTGGTGTTGATCAAACTCATATCACAACTCGTGTTGTAGGTACGTTTGGTTATTTGGATCCAGGGTACTTTCAGTCCAACCAATTCACTGATAAGAGTGATGTGTATAGTTTTGGAGTGGTACTTGTCGAGTTATTGAGTGGACAAAAGGCAAATCGTGTGATTGATGATGAAGAAAGGGGTCTAGTAGTATGGTTTCTTGAACATATGGGAGATTCTTCACTGTATGACATATTAGATGCTCGAGTCAAAAGGGAAGGAAGAGAAGAGGAGATAATGCTTGTTGCTCAACTTGCAAAAAGATGTGTAAACTTGGATGGAAAGAGAAGACCGGCTATGAAAGAAGTCGCCGCTGAACTAGAGACTATAAGATCATCCTTGCAACATGGATTGTCAAAGAACCAATCAATCTCAAACAATGAGCAAGATGATGCACAAACAATATATTCTTCGATTGACATGAGTTTAGATGATACAATAGAAGAACAACATTTATTTTCCAGATTTCATTGAAAGGAAGGGATTATTATACTTTGAATACTATGTTAAGTATGTTTGTATTCATGTTGTATACCCGTGTTTGTGTATATATATACGTCTACAGAGCAATCAATCCTAACTAATTTTCCATAATATATACATACTGGCATTGCGTAATACTCCGTATTAGAAAGTCTATCGATCATCATCAGTTCATCACTTATTACCACCTATACAATAGACCATAAGCGTGTCTTGAAAGTGATTATAGTTGTATAATTGTTAACTTAATTTTATATGATATTCTATTTTAAGACGTCGATTATTTAGTGACTAAGAGAGTACTTCAAAGTCTTCACTGTATATCAATGTCTGATTTTATTGCCTATACCATTAGCAGTTTTGAGAGTAAACTGAAGGACTTGTTCAATGCAAAAGTTTGAAGAGGTCAGCCTAATGTTAACAACTAATGGTTGAATTTGGACAATCTCTCTTTAATTTGGATGTCACTCATTTCCTCTAATGCCTCTGTTTTCTGTTTCATAATTTTGTTGCGACGCTTGAGCTAGCTCATCTAAGCTCATCTTCTATTGATGGTGTATGCATCCTTTTGATAAGAGCAAGCAAAACAGAAATTGATTACAAATTCGGAAAAAGAAAACAGCAACAACATGAAGGTTACAGAGTCCATGGCAATTCAAGGGATCACTAAAGTAGTGACTTTGCTTGGATATGCATTTGCACAATGATCATTTAAATACCCTATTCCGTTCTTCTTCATGATTATGGTCTTATGAGTTATATGCATTGTTAAGTTGCTTCGTATACATGCGCTATACTGCTATGCAGTGATGTGTTGCAAGCCACATACAAAATCTTAATCATTACCTACATCTCACATTAACAACTTCCTATCTTTACAGCATGCCACAATATATTATGTACTACTAATAGCATTTATTGGGACCGAGGAGGTAAAAATGGACAAACAAAATTTAGATGAAAAGAACTCATAGAACTAATTTAGATGAGTAAATTAGGAATTAAAAGTATATATTAATTCGTATTTAAGACGTACATAGATGTCTAGGAGAAAAAAATAATTAGGTACACTACTATACCACATTGTCACATGCACATGCTAGGTCGGTAGCTCCATCCCATCAGAATATATACTAGTACTTTATTAATTAAAGCACATGAAATGTATGCAAAATATAGAATCAATACATAAATTTGTGTTCAGGTTAGCTTCTAATAAATTAAAACATATGCTTGTAGCTAGGAACGTGCATGACTGCTTCTTTGAAGTTTCAATGTTCTGCTGTTTAATTTTGACTACTTATTTTATTAAGAATGAAAATAAACACGTAAGCCACTTCAACTCATAAAAACAGAATAATGTAGATTGATTTAGCAAATAATTAATACTTAATTTTAATCATTCAATGAATGCACATCAATTAAACAATTTTACTTATTCCATAGAAAAATCAAAGGATCGGATAATATAGATTTGTCAAGAATAGTCAAAATTAGTAACCTATTTAAAATTGAAAAAATTAATACCTTTAATCTTCTACTAAAGCATGAAAAATGTTTTCCTCGAGTTACAACAAAAAAATTAATCTCACTGGCAATAATGTATCCAACTCCAACCCTCATCATATTTAAACTCCTCCTATTCAAACTTCTTCTTGTCATCCCAATGGCAACATCCCAATCCCTCTCGAATGGTGACGATCACGAGTCGTCGTCGCTCTTCTGCGAAAGCTGGCGGTTTTCCGTAGAAGCAAACAATGCCGGAAATTGGTCGGCTGTACCCGATCGTTGTTTAGAATTTGTGAAAGACTACATGACCGGTGATCGTTACAAGTCGGATTTCGGTCTTACTGCGAAGAACACGTTGGAGTTTGCTAAATCAGTGGATATAGCCGAAGATGGGAAGGATGCTTGGATCTTTGATGTTGATGAGACCCTTATTTCTTTCTTGCCTTACTATGAATCTCATGGATTTGGGTAAGTTATCTTTATTCTCGTTCTTATTTTTGTTGCAAATAATTATTTAATCGTTATTAAATACTTGGTATATGGTATCACTTGTATGCCGTTCACGTAGTTTTAACTTTTAATTAAGAGACTAACTAGTATGGAGTAATTAATTCGATTCAATAAGAAAATCGGACAAGTAACAAATAAATACAAATAAACTACTCTATATTAGACAATAGTGCAAAGGGTGAGTGGCATACACAAATTAAAAAAATTACTTAATTCTATTAGGGCGCATCTATAGTTATGTGCATCCAAAGTAAATTTTATAATTCGTATTTAATTTTTAGATGAACAAAAACTTACCTTGCTAATTGTTATATTCTTTGAAGGAAAACCGACCAAAAAGAGTTTGTAAAATGGGGGTTGCGGAACAAACTACCTGCCTTGCAGGCAAGTTTGAGTCTATACAAAGAAATCCATCAACTCGGGTTCAAAATCTTCCTCTTGACGGGCAGGCCAGAATGGTTTAGAAACTTCACTACAACAAATTTAGCCGAGGCCGGATACAGTGATTGGGAAAGATTGATTTTAAGGTATAATTAAGCACTTGTAATGCCTCTAAAATTCTCTTCCATTTTTCTTTTGTGTCAAGCTCATTGGACTAGCCTTAATTAACTTTCTAATTGTTGTTTTGTATTTGATCATGTAATGATGTAGGCAGCCTTCTGATGAAAACAAAAAAGCAATTGATTACAAACCCGAAAAACGGAAGCAACTATTAGATGAAGGTTACAGAATCATTGGCAATGTTGGAGATCAATGGAGTGACTTGATGGGATATCCGATTGCACAACGATCATTTAAATACCCTAATCTAATGTACTATGTTGCATGATTATTATGTTCTTGCACCATTTAAATGTGCTCTCACTTCCTATTTACATTGTCATCTATATATTAAACTATCAATAATGTCTTACACTATGTTAGCTTGTTTTGTACGGTAGGTCAAATTAGAGTTATTGCATTTTTCTCCCAGTATACGGACTTAATACATACTTCAATTCTTGACTTTTACACAACCTAAGTTAATCTTATATACCAAGCGAAGCTTGGTCTAGTTTATTTTAGTGTTTAGACAAGGCATAATGAGAATCGATCCCAGAATCTCCTGAAATTGGGAGGGGGAGCCCTAACCACATGATTTATCTCACTCTCAGCAAAGCTTGGTCTAGTGGTAGTAATGTTTGTATCTCCCAATATTGAGGTTGTGGGATCAAATCCCACTAGAAGCACTTTAGGGTGGAGATTCACTTATCCTTCCCCCTCACTCTCAAAGTGCCTAGCCTGCTAACCCGAGCCGTGAGAACTTGTGAGATTTCGGGCCGATAAGGCTCTTCTCATTCCAAAAAAAAAAAGTTAATCTAATAGAGTACGGACTTGGAATCATAGGCAAATGAATAAATGATGGTGCCTGAGTGTAACGACAGAGCACTAGTTTATCAATTAATCAATTATCATATACAATGAGACAAGCTCGAAATAAAATTTATAGAGGATATTCATATCTTAAAAAGGATGAATAGTGGACTGCTGTTAAAACTTTATGGAGAATGATTTTACACGCGCAACTTCAAGTTAGTGCATCCAATCATTCAATGCATTATGTAAAAATATATCCACGTAGAAAAATCAAAATATAACAAAGATGAGTGAAATTGGTCAATATTAGCAACCTATCTAAAATCAAAGGATAAATTGAATTTATTGGAACCTTATTATAACAACCTTTCTTTTTCTAACACCAAATTTATTCTAGGCAATAATAATGTATCTTCCTAAGAACCTCATCATACTTGTTGAACTCCTCCTTTTCACTCTTCTCTTTGTCACACCATCGCAAACTCTCTCGCAACCAAATCAAGTACCCCTCCCTACAACTTCAAAGCTCCAAAATCACGACCACGATCATGATGAGTCATCATCCCTCTTCTGTGAAACCTGGCGGTTTTCCGTGGAGACCAACAATGCCGGAAATTGGTCAACTATACCCGTCCGTTGTCATAAATATTTGATGGACTACATGACCGGAGATCGCTACGTCTCAGATTTCGGCCTTACTGCTAGAAACGCATTGGAGTTCGCTAGATCAGTGGATATAGCAGGGGATGGGATGGATGCTTGGGTTTTTGACGTAGATGACACCCTTCTCTCCACTTTTCCTATAGTTCATGGATTTGGGTAAGCTTTCCTTAATTTCTCTACTAATTTTGTTATTTGTGACTAATAGAATATAAAACATATTCCTGTGCCTCAACCATCAGCAACGTTGGGTATAAGGAGGGCTCATGCTGCATCCACGCTTCAAGCCCAATGAAATCTTGTGTGAGGGGGCGTGATAGAGTATAAAATATAATCTTGTGCCTCAACCATCAGTGACTAATTAATTATAAATTATAATGATATTGACTTTATTTAACTGATTTAACCATTGCTTTATCACTCTATACAGTATTTTATGAGTATTATTGCATAAAATGTTTATGATTGTGTCAAGTAACCCTTATATTTTGTTAAAGAGTTAATAAATCAAGTAAAAAACAACCACTAATAATACCCCCCTTTTTGTACTAAACAAGCACCATAAATTGAATTAAGAAGAATTAATACTAATTATTAGTTTCAACTTTGAAGGAAGAAAAACAGGACAGAGTTCATAAAATGGGGATTAACGAAAGGGACTAAGCTACCTGTCTTGAGGGCAAGTTTGAGTCTATACAAGGAGCTGCGTAAGCTCGGGTTCACGATCTTCCTCTTGACAGGCAGACCAGAATGGATAAGGAACTATAGTGTAGCAAATCTAATGGATGTAGGATACAGTGATTGGGAAAGATTGATATTGAGGTATAATTTTATCTAGTCTTTTCTAATAATGCTTCTGAATTTTATTATTTCGTTATGATGCTTGAGCAAAGTTGAGCTCTTCTAGGCCAATTATATATTAACTTTAATTTGATCATGTAATGGTGTAGGCAGCCTTCTGATGAAAGCAAAAAGGCGATTGATTACAAATCCGAAAACAGAAAGAAACTATTAGATCAAGGTTATAGAATTCATGGCAATTCTGGAGATCAATGGAGTGATTTGCTCGGATATGCAATTGCTCAACGATCATTTAAATACCCTAATCCAATGTACTATGTTGCATGATTATGAAATTATATATGTTTTTATGCAGCCATGTAGTCATCATGTGTCAAGGCACTCATACAATATTACTCGTACTTTTTTATTTTTATTTGACAATATTACTACGGAGTAGTTACTCTACTATTAGCACTATATTGTCACCTATTAGTAAAAGTGTTACACATTTTAAGTTTTTATGTATGATCATACCTAATAACTCCTAGCACGGACGTCATACGGGACGCGTGCTCGGTTACCATGGATATGACTGTGGAAGAGTTGAATGAGAAGTGCGGTACTAAAACCATTAGTATGAATTATTTTCCTATTGAAGTTGTATACATATCCTATAAATCAACAATTTTTTCTTTGTTGAAGATAAATACAAAGTGAAGTTCACATGAACTTCTCTAGTGAATATTTGGTAGCAAACTTAGTACAATAATAGTATAATAATACAATTGTGCAGATAATTGTATGACAATATTTTGCCTATAAATAAGCTCACCATTGTGAACTATGGAGAATGCAATAACATTAACCGTAGCAATATTTCTCTACTTGTTCACTTCTCTATTTTTCAATATCATTCTATAGTTAGAAAGCCACCTTTTAACACGTTATCATCACCAATTCCTAGTCAGATATATTTATACCTACTTCTCAAAATTATAACAAATAAATACTATCTACTTCTAAATGTTTTGAGGAGTATGTTCTATAATTGCCCATATTTTGGGATTCTCTATATTAGAAACTCAAATATTTACTGTATCGAAACAACGGTGGAGAAATTCTCTTATTTATGAATTCATTACTATTCTCCCTTGTTTTATTCATGTTGATGTTTTTTTGTTTGATTCATGCATGTTGATATTACATGCTCATCGATCTTTTACGTAAAATTTGATTTTAATAGTAACTTTGCATGCATATTATTAACTAAATTGACAAAAAGATGCAGCCTTTTTATACTTATTATTTTTCTTTCTTTTACGTACTTTTTGTGTTTCTTTCTGTTTTCGAACCCATGATCTTTAATAGATATTAGGGCTCTCGGACCACTATGGCTTGCATTCCCAGTGTGATAACCTTTTACAATTATAAATATTTATATTTGGACCATAATTTTGCCAGTACATTAGACTATTATATGATATTTTTACAATTGTACAAAACAGTAAGGGATAAACCTACCTCTATAAAAGACAGATTTCTCCCGATTTCACCACAAATCCCTTATCCTTTCCCTTTTTTTTATCCAAAAATCACCTAAAATTTTTCACCCTTTCTTCTTCGATATGTTCCCCGACGACGGCAACCAAAACACCCACACATTCACTTTTGAGGAATATTTAAGGAAGATAAAACATTATTTTCTTCTAATTATGGCGCTTGTAGTTCTGTTAGTAGTAATATTAATTTTTGTCATGATGTACAAGTGAAGTTTGTTTATTTTGTCGTTTTAGTAGATTAAAAACATGTTTTTTTTATTATATTGTTTTGTTGTTATTAATCATCATTGTATAATATTACCGTTATTATTATAATTATTGTTACTACTGTTGTTGTTGTCGTTTTGCTGTTTATGCGACTAATATGATTTATTTTTGCCTAATTATGTAATTACTCACAATAATAAACCAAGGGGGAGAAATGAACTATATTTTTTATGGTTTATTATTGTTAAATAAATTTAATTATCACGTGTTTCATTAACAAACTATAGATATGGAAGAATTAAACATATGTGTTGTACATATGATTAATTATTATAAACTAATTATCACGTGATTTGTTGTAGTTAAAATGGGAGATCTTATGAAAAGACAATTTAGCATCCTAGATTTATCTGGAAAGAAATTTTTGGAATGGAAAGTGGATGCCATGATGAATTTAAAAGCTTAAGGGTTGGAGCACACTGTTAAAGATAATAAAAGTCCCTCTTGCCAAGCAACTGATGCTACCACTTCTGCAATGACAGTTGTAAAATCTATAATTGAACAAGAAAAGGCAAAATCCTTAGTGTTATTAAGGCATCATTTGCATGAAGGCCTTAAAACTGAGTACATGATGGTTGAAGATCCCAAAGAATTATGGGATAGCCTTAATGAAAGATTTGGACACCACAAAAGGGTGCTCCTTCCTAAGGCTTTATTTGAGTGGACAAATTTACGGTTTCAGGATTTCAAATCTGTAATTGATTACAATTCAACCATACATGAGATAGTATCTATATTGAGATACTGTGATCATCCAGTCACCGATGAACAGATGATTGAAAAAACACTCACTACCTTTCATGCAAGCAACATACTGTTGCAAGAACAATATCGTGAAAGAGGTTTCAAAAAGTTTAATGAATTAATGAGTGTATTTCTTGTTGCGGAACAAATTAGTGATCTTTTGTTGAAAAATTATAATCTTAGACCAATTGGGTCTTTGGGCATTCATTATGAGGCAAATGCAACAAGTTCTTATCCACCTGAGGCAAATGCTACACGAAGAGGCGGACGTGGAAATTACAATGGCCGTGGAAGAGGCCGTGGAAATTATCACAGACGAGGCCAAGGACATGGTAAATTTTCAAAGAAACAGTAATTTTAAAAATTCTGAAAAACAGAAGGGACAGTCATCTGGAAGCCACAAACAAACTCCTTCAAAAGGAAAAGACACATGTTACAGATGTGGCATGACAAGACATTGGGGACGTTCTTGTCGTACGACCAAAAATTTGGTAGACCTTTACCAGGCTTCTGTAAAAGGCAAAGAGAAAAATGTAGAAGCAAATTATGTTAATGAAGAAAATGCTCCATGTCCTACCCTTGATGTATCCAATTTTTTCATGGACAATGCTGAAATTGGAAATGATTTCATCTTTGGAGAAAATAACAATGCTTAGATAACCCACCTACTAATGCAATATATACTATGTTTTAATGTATTTTCTGTTATGTACTGTATTTTAAATGTCTAGTCATGTATTTTTAATTTCTATCATCAATAAAATGTTCATATGATATTATTCTAAACTAATCTCATATTTATTTTATGAAGATATGGATATGCCTGAAGTTGGTTTCGAATATCAGTGCCTTTTGGACAGTGGAACAACACACACTATCTTGAAGGATAGAAAATATTTTTCACAACTAAAGTTGTTTCAGGCAAATGTAAACACTATTTCCGGGTCAGAAAAATTAATTGAAGGATCTGGAAAGGCTTGTATAATGCATCCAAATGGGACAAAATTGATGATCAATAATGCTTTATACTCGAGTAAATCTCGAAGAAATCTCATAAGTTTTAAAGATGTACGCCAAAATGGCTATCATTTAGAAATAACGACAACAGATGAAAAGGAGTATATATGCCTCACGACAGAAAAACATGGCAAGAAACATATTTATGAGAAATTGCGAGCATATTCTTCAGGGTTATATCATATAAACATACGACCCGTGGAAATCAATATGATATCTAACCAGAAGTTAGATAACAAACATTTGATTATTTTATGGCATGATCGTTTGGGGCATCCAGCAACTGGGATGATGCAAAGAATAATAGTGAATTCAGTTGGACATTCAATAAGAAATGTCAAAATTTCTCGATCAGATGAATTAACATGCTCTGCATTTCACTCGGCAAATTGATAATTAGGCCATCTATGAACAAAATTGCTACTGAATCCCCAAAATTCTTGGAAAGAATTCAGGGAGATATTTTTGGGCCAATCAATCCGGCATGTGGACCATTTCGATATTTCATGGTTTTAATTGATGCTTCTACACTATGGTCACATGTCACTATGTCAGTCTGCTTTCAAGTATGAATGTTGCCTTTGCAAAATTACTTGCCCAAATTATCAAATTAAGAGCACAATTCCCAGATCATACAATAAAGAAAATAAGACTCGATGGGGAATTTACATCCCAAACTTTTAATGATTATTGTATGTCAATTGGAATTGATGTTGAACACCCAGTAGCTCATGTTCATACACAAAATGGTCTAGCTGAATCACTAATTAAGAGATTACAATTGATTGCGAGACCATTATTAATGAGGTCAAAATTGCCATCATCTACTTGGAGACATGCTATAATACATGCAACAACACTAATTAAATTGAGACCTACAGCTTATCATAAATTCTCACCACTACAACTTGTTTGTGGTCGAGAACCAAGTATTTCACATCTAAAAATCTTTGGTTGTGCTATATATGTTCCCATTGCTCCACCCCAACGAACAAAAATGGGTCCACAAAGATGGTTGAGAATTTATGTCGGGTTTGAATCCCCCTCTATAATTAAATATCTTGAAACATTGACTGGTGACTTATTTACGGCTAGATTTGCCGACTGTCACTTTAATGAAGCAGTATTCCCAGCCTTAGGGGGAGAGAAAGTGGACCTTCGCAAGAAAGAAATAGAACTTATTTGGAATGCAACACAACTATTGATGTTAGACCCACGAACAAATATGTGTGAACAAGAAGTCAAGAAAATTGTTCATTTACAAAGTGTTGCAAATCAATTGCCTGATGTATTTGTAGACACAAAGAAGGTGACAAAATCACATATACCAGCAAAAGATGCCCCTGCACGTATTGAAATCCCAACTGATAATAAGGCCATTGAGAATTAATCTCAAGCACGCAGAAAGCGTGGGAGACCACTTGGTTCAAAAGATTCTAAACTAAGGAAATTGAAAAGATTGGATGGAATAGAAAATGAGACTAATGATGTTCCCCCGTCAGACGGTCAAGAAAGACCAAATGTGGATGAAAGTAAAGAAAATGATGATAATCCAAAAGGGGATGAACAAGAAGACAACCCTACGGGGAATGAACAAGATGTTCAAAACATCGATAACAATGAAATTTCAATGAGTTACATCTCTACCAAGACTCAGTGGAATAGGAAAGATGTTATCGTGGATGAAATATTTGCAAATTCCATCGCAATCAACATTGTGTCTGATGAAAATGATGTTGAACCAAAAACAGTGGAAGAATGTCGACACAGGAGTGATTGGCCAAAGTGGAAGGAGGCAATACTGGCTGAGTTGAAATCACTTGAAAAACGAGAAGTTTTCGGAAAAATAACTCTTACACCAGCAGGTGTAAAACCCGTTGGATACAAATGGGTATTTGTGAGAAAACGTAATGAGAATAATGAGATAGTTAGATACAAGGCAAGACTTGTAGCCCAAGGATTTTCTCAAATTCCAGGGATTGAATATGAAGAAACATATTCTCCAGTAGTTGATGCAACTACATTAAGATTTCTGGTAAGTTTGACAGTCACAAAAGGACTGCAAATGCGATTAATGGATGTAGTGGCTGCGTATTTGTATGGGTCACTCGATACAAACATTTACATAAAAGTCCCCGAAGGACTAAAACTACTAGAAAATCACAAGTCTAGACAATTACTTTCCATAAAACTAAAAAGGTCACTTTATGGATTGAAACAATCTGGAAGGATGTGGTATATAACCGTCTAAGTGAATACCTTATGAGAGAAGGGTTCAAGAACAGCCAAATTAGTCCCTGTGTTTTCATAAAGCGATCACAGTTAGGATTTGCTATTATTGCAGTTTATGTTGATGATTTGAATATCATCAGAACCTCAAATGAACTTGAGAAAACTGCAAAATACTTGATGAAAGAATTTGAGATGAAAGACCTTGGAAAAACTAAATTTTGCCTTGGATTGCAAATTGAGCACTTGAGTCATAGTATTTTTGTCCATCAGTCAAACTATACAGAAAGAGTTTTGAAAAGATTCTTCATGGACAAAGCAACTCCAATCAACTTTCCAATGGTTGTTCGTTCTTTGAGTATGAAAAACAATCCATTCAGACCACAAGAAGAAAATGAAAAAATTCTGGGTCCAGAAGTACTATACTTAAGTGCAATTGGAGCCTTAATGTACTTAGCTAACAACACTAGACCCGACATAGCTTTCTCTGTGAACTTGTTAGCCAGGCATAGCAATGCACCAACATATAGGCATTGGAAGGGAGTCCGACACTTACTCCGATACCTACGAGGAACACAAGACCTTGGTTTATATTATCAACCAAAACAAGATGCTGCCCTCATTGGGTATGCCGACACTGGATATTTGTCGGATCCTCAAAATGCCAAGTCACAAAATGGATATCTGTTCACTTATGGTGGCACGGCAATATCATAGAAATCAACAAAGCAGACATTGACAGCGACATCCTCAAATCATGCAGAGTTGATAGCCCTTTATGAAGCAGGACGAGAATGTGTATAACTCAGGTCGATGATTAGTAATATCCAAGAAGAGTGTGGAATGAGAGCAATAACAGAAAATCCAACCACCATCTTTGAAGACAATACAACATGCATCTCTCAAGTAACTGAAGGATATATTAAGGGAGATAGAACAAAACATATATCCCCAAAACTATTCTTCACACATGATCTGCAGAAGGATGAGGAAATAGATATCCAGCAAATTCAGTCTTGTGACAACCTTGCTGACCTGTTCACCAAATCACTTCCTTCCAAGAAATTTGAGCAATTAGTTCACAAAATTAGAATGCGACATCTTCGTGAACTATGCTGAAATCAGGGGGGTATTATATGCACTGCACTCTTTTTCCCTTCGATTAGGTTTTTATTCCACTGGGTTTTTCCTGACAAGGTTTTTATCGATGCAGTATATCAAAGCATATAATACTTTTAGCTATGGTTTTATCCCATAGGTTTTACCTAGCAAGTTTCACAAGACAACCCATACTCCATTTCATGTGAACGTTCAAGGGGGAGTGTTGAAGATAAATACAAAATGAAGTTCACATGAACTTCTCTAGTACAATATTTGGTAGCAAACTTAGTACAATAATGTATAATAATACAATTGTGCAAATAATTGTATGACAATATTTTGCCTATAAATAAGTTCACCATTATGAACTATGGAGAATGCAATAAAATTAACCGTAGCAATATTTCTCTACTTGTTCACTTCTCTATTTTTCAATATCATTTTATAGTTAGAAAGTCACCTTTTAACACTCTCTTTTATTTATTTATTTATTTATTTATTTTTGGCTAATTGAGTAGGTTAATTAAGATCAGAGTCTTACGACACTTCAACTAAAATTGTAAACTTTAACATATACTTCTCAATAATTTGAGATTTTACCTTATTCATTCAATAGTAAGATACCCATTATTAATCCATTACAAAGTATAATTTTTACGTAAAGAAAGATTGAGTAATGTTGAATCTTGTCAAATTGTTCTCGATATACACATCCAATTTAAAATATGGCATTAATTCTTTATACACCAACTTTAAAGATAATTAATGGTTGATATGATGCAATAACAAACATAATTTAATGTGAAATAATTAAAGGGTAATGTTATATGTAGCCCTTATAATAAAGGTGATTAAAGTTAGCCCAGCTCAATTTTGGGCAGAATTTTTTGGCCCGAAATCGGGTTGGGCCCGGCCCGGTCCGAAAAATTATTTTTTGGGGCAGGTTTGGGAATGTGAAAATTATACCCTACATCCTAGTGTAGGATGGTCTACCTACACCCCCTGATGCTACGCCGTTTTGTAGCTTGCGGGGAGTACTCACAAGCTAATTCATGCTTCAATTCTTTCCTTTTTTTTATTTAATTTTTTAATTCCTTGTTTCTTATTATTCAAGCTATGTATATAAATGATTTTAAATCCAATATTTTCTCTCTCCTCAATTGATCAATTTCCATTTTTCTACCTACATTCTCTCTAGTTAATTCATCTTCTTCATTTGATTTTATACTAATTTTGCCGTTTATTTTTCCTACGATTTTGATAATTGTTGTTGATCATCAATGGCTGATTCTTCATCTGCTAATTTCGATCGTGATTACGAAAGTGGGTTTCCGTCTTCTAGAGTTCGATTGATTGATTCGTTTGTTCATCAACAATGTGAGTAATTACAATCATAATTTTGTAATTTTTATCATCAATACATTGTTTTGTTGTGTTATAATGTTCTGTTTATTTCAACTTAATTTATGTATTATTATTCTTTTCGTTGCTTCAATTTTCAAAATTTGATTATGATTATGATGAACGTTTTTGGATTGTTCATACTTTGTTATGAATATTTCGCTGCTTCAATTTATTTCATTGCTCTATGTTTGAAAATTGCGTGATTTTGTTTGTATGCTTTTATTTATTTATTTATTTTTGGATCATTTTTATATTTAAAATTAATCAATTATGTGTTATCATTTGTACTTCTTAATTTTTTTATGTCATATATGATTATTTGTTTTTACCATTTTTTCTTGATAATATTATGTGTCAAAATTTTCCACATTGATCATGTGCAATTTTGCTATTGAACATTGTATTTGTTAATTATTGTTCATTTTTGAAACATGTTATGTTCATTTATAATTGTATATTAAAACTTTGTGCAATGAGAAAAAAAACTGATATTTCATATCTTGCTAAGGTTTTGATCTTATCTGTTTATTTAAGTGTTTGAAATTGAACATTTATATATTTTAATATGATCATTTAACTTTTATTTGAAGGCGAAGGATTTAGTGTTTAAAGGATTTAATATGATCATTTTTTGAAACTTGTTATGTTCATTTATAATTGTATATTAAAACTTTGTGCAGTGGGAAAAAAAGCTGATATTTCATATCTTGCTAAAGTTTTGTTTTTCTTATCTGTTTATTTAAGTGTTTGTAATTGAACATTTATATATTTTAATATGATCATTTAATTTGTTTTGCAGTCGAAGGATTTAAATATTCCTATAAATAAAAGTGCTGCTGGTGTTTCTGCTGCTCAAGCTCAATGTAATGTTCCTATAAATAAAGGTGGTGCTGGTGTTAAAAATGATGCTCAAGTTAATCCAAGAGTACTAATGCGTCTACAAAATCTCAAACTAGATATTTTGTTCCACCCGTAGTTCTTGGCATTGTTCCAACTTCAACTCAGGATTGTTCAAACTTCAATCCAGAAATGTTTAAACCCCATTCCAGAAATGTTCAATCGACAAATGTTTAAGTTATTCCTCCCACGGTTCCAATAAATGATCAAGGTGCTCTTGTTCAAAGTTCTTCAAGTGTTAAAGACATAAGAATTTGTTTCTATATAATACCTTTTTTAGTATATTGTTTTTTTTAAAAATTCAACATATGTAAATGATTATTTATCAATTTGAAAATGAACAAAAGTAAAGAACCAACAACCAATTCATAAAACCTAAAAATTATATATTTTTTTTCATACAAATAAAGATTAAAATGAAATATCAATTCCAATAATTTTTTTAACAAATAAAATCTATAAGTCTATTTTCCTCCAAAAAAAATCATCTATAAAACTATATACTTCCTCCGTTTTCTTTTACTTGCAACACACCTTTTAGGCACACAATTTTAGGAGATGATTAGTGAGGGTAAACGAGCTATTTTATCAATATAATTTTTACACGAAGATTAGAATAGGGTTAAGTATCATTTGTAAAAATTATAATGAATAATTTATCCGTTTACATTACATAAACCCGACCTCAAAACACGTGCCACAAGGCTGTGTTGCAAGTAAAAAGAAACGGAGGAAGTATAAGATATGATCATATACACATTCATTAATGAACATATACACTTTCATAAATGAACATATAACATGTACTATTCATTTGCAAACTTCCTTGCTTATCTTCTATTTAACCTATATTTAGTGTTTTTCTTCAAATAACATCAGTTCCGCATCCTTGCTTCCTAATTTGGTTCACCTGTTGAACAAAATGAATTAACAAATGTTAATTATTATATACACTACTTTATAAATGAACAATATATCTTACATTATTGAACATTTATCACTTTTACACTATTTGGTTTCAAATCACAAATCTAACTCTCATTAAGTTTAGTAGTGAATGTTTCTATATGCTTCATAATGTATACTCCGCAGTTTGTATAATCAGCGTTGGTAAGCCATTTTATCTTCTCCAAAACAACTACGTATTCTTCAATTCCATGTGCAAATTTATATCAAATGTGTAACTTTGGACATCACTACAATATAGCTAGATTAGTTGTAAGATATTAGTTTTAATGCATACAAATGAACATTATCAATATTATACATGAGGATAATGTATAAAAGAAATGAACATTCGTTATTTAGGCATATAAATATATATGTAAACTGAAATGAACCAATATTAACATATATTTTAAAATGAACATTACTTTATATGTAAATGAACATTATGAATTTCATAAATGGTCAAAAGATTTGATAGAATAAATAAGTCAGTTTCTCAACTCAAATGAATGATTATTTATGCATTTCATAAATGTGCATAACATATCATAAAAATGAACATTATTTATTTAGGCATATAAAGTCAAATATAAACTCAAATAAATTCAAATATACAAATGAACATTTATAATTCTATATATGTTCGTATATTAACTCGGAATCGTAGAAATGTTAACATCTATACGATAAGACTTTTTAATATCTTTTAAAAGTTCTAGATCTACAACTTGAGACTTTTGTTCGTTGTTTTTTTTTTAAAAATTTTTTCTACTCTTGTTTAAATAGGTTTTTGAAATAATACTTACGTTTCTTCAGACTATGCCTTGTTATGTTCAACGAACAGGATTCTTCTCTGAATCCTCATTCTCTTTATCTCTCTAATTCGAAATATATTTTTCGGTTCTGTAAAAAAAAAAACACAAAACATAGTAGATTTTAATGATTTTTGCATAAAATAGTTCTAATCAAGTTAGATTATGTTTCTGAACATGTAATTTCAAAATGAAATACGTAGTAGAAAAAATAGGTTCATACAAATTTTTTTAGTAAAATTACTTACTCTTTCTGTGAATGTTGTTGCGATTGTTGAATTTCTTCGCAAATGTAGACATTTGAAGGAATTTAGCAATATTTTGAAGCAATTTCGTAGTATTTTGAAGCAATTTCGTAGTATTTTGAAGCAATTTTGGTTCATATTTTCTGGTTTTGATGAGAGAGAAAGTCTAGAGAAATGAAGAAGAAGGTTTTAGAGAGAATGGTGGGTAGTTACAGTAGGTTAGTGGGTTATGGGATGTGGGTAACATGATAAACACATCATTTAGAGGGGGGTGTAGGTATCCCTACCTACACTAGGGTCTAGTGTATACCAATTATTTGGGAATGCGTTTGTATGCATTTTTAGTTGATTTTTTAGGCCCGGCCCAAAAATGGCCCGAAAAGCCCGCATGGCCCAACCATTTCGGGCGGGTTTGGGCACAAAATTCCGACCCGAAAAGTGGGCATAATTTTTTAGCTTCGGCCCAGCCCGTCCAATGATCATCTCTACCTTATAAGCATTAAATACACTTGTAAATCAGTGTAATTAGTGTTTTTATATTTTTATTTATAATTTTCTAAATTTATACGATTTTTTAATGTGTATTTAGTGTTTATATATAACCCCAAAAACTGTGTATAACATCTTTCATAATCAAAATACGAGTACATTGCATCAAAATAAGAAACTTGAGAAAATAGGAAAAAATACAGCATATTATAAGAACACAAGTGTCAGTAACTTATTGGTCCATATTCTTCCCATTCCCTCCTCAAACCAATTCACCAATCCCAAATTCTTTCCGTCAAAACCAAGTTTTCCGGCAATGTTCTTACCTGAAAACTACCTTTCTCTCTCTCTCCTCCTTATTTTCTCTCTCTTCTTTCTCACTCCTTCCCATTCTCTCTCATCGGGAAACCACCTTCTCCTTCCCAGCAACCGGAAATTCGGCCAAGATGACCAACTCTTCTGCGAGAGTTGGCGGTTTTCCGTCGAAACAAACGATGCAGGGATTTGGGATACCATTCCAACCCGATGCTTTGACTTCGTGAAAAACTATGTTACCAGTGACCGTTACTTGTCGGACTCCGAAGTCGTTGCCGGAGATGAGTTGGAATTCGCGAAATCTGTTAATGTTTCCGGCGATGGAAAGGATGCTTGGATTTTCGATGTTGATGAAACTCTTCTCTTTAATTTGCCTTATTATGAGCTTCATGGATATGGGTGAGGTTTTCTGTATTATTTGCGATTAAATTGATTGTTTTTTATTTTAGTTTAGTTAATTGGAATTTGGTAAAATTTGATTTGATGATTGTTGTTGTTATATTGTCATTAATTTATGAATTTTTGGGATGATAACAGCTAATTTCTTGATTATCTCTTTATATGAATTGATTATAGCTCCATTGAATCTATATTTTGTTGGATTATAGCTCAATGTGATAGAATTGCCGCATTTTTTGTTTGTTTGGGGAAAAATTGCCTTAAATTAGACTAAGTTATGTTGGTTTTGGAGATTCAAATGCTGGATTGAGCATGAAATATTGTGTGTTGTACTTGTAGGTTGTGATCAGGTGTTTGAATTCATGGCGAATTCAGTTTTTGAGGGTGTTCATGTTAGGAATTTCATGTGATCAATGTATTCTTATTTTTTATGTTGATGCTTAATTTGGAAGGGAGGCTGAATATTGATAGTCAACTGCTTCATGTGCAAGTTCTTAACTTGTTATGTTGATCCTTAATTGGCAAGGAAATTTCATGTGTTCTTAATTATTGCTATGGTGATCCTTGCTTCATCCATTGTTTCATTATGAGGAGTGATTGTATAATGAAATTAAAGGCGGTGTGATGTTTGTGTCAGTTATTCTTATGAGTTGTATCAGCTTTGTGACATTGGAAATGGTGCTAATTACAAAGAAATCTTTTGAGTTTGTCCTGTAACTCCTGTTGATTAATGTGGTAAGCTGGCTAATGTTAGAGATGTGTGACATTTTAGCAAGGGTTATGCAGAATGTGGCAATGTGCAATTTGGTTTTTAAAAACTGTTAATAGACCATTATAGAAACTCATTTACTCTTGAGAGCTTGTAATACTGCCATCACTTGAACACATTTCTCAGTTTAAATTTAGCTCATAGCGTGTCCTATTGCTATGTGGTGATGGATTCTCAAGTGTCTTAAAGTGCATAAAATAAACTGAAGTGTGCAATGCTGATAAGATAGGTGATCAGGATCATGGACAATGACAGGATATGCGACTTGCATATAATTCTGCTTCTCTGTCTAATGTCTATAGGATAGAGATTTAGTTTCTGTGAAAAGTATAACTATCAACTCTGATTTCAAATGCAAAACAGGATCCCTTCCTGTTTTTGCCCAGTTATTGATTTCCGAAACATTTTGAATGCAAAGCAGTATCAAATGCTTCTGTTTTCTGCTGTTTATCTCATTTGATTCGACAGTTGTGTATCATTCTTCATCTTCTTCTCTTCCCTTTCTTGGTTTTCTGAGAAATGATATACCTTGATTGCTCTGTTTCTTTCTGGGAACACATTCCTCTGTAATTCAACAACTTGTGATCTATTATTATTCATGACACAACCTACTTGTTTATATATATGTAGGTTTACAGAAAGCGGAATTGTGCCTCTTTCTGCTTCAAACTAGCAATTCTTCTAGTGGTCTTAACTAACTTCATAATTTGTTTCTTGCTTACTCTTCTAGACTAGAAAGATACTATAAATTAATCCAGAGACTCCATTCATTGCTTATTTTATCACAATGATTCTGATCCTTTTGTTGGAATAGAGTTCATGTGATTGATGTGAAGTTGTGAACCTTACATCTAAAGATCTCCGTGCTAGTATGCTACTGGTTTGGACGATTGAAACAGCGCTGCTTTCTGTTATCCTTACTCTTTGAAAGAAATACGAGTACATCATTTCTGATTTTCATATCCAAATCTTTTGGCCCTCATTTGTCTGTAGGTGGTGTTGATGGAATGTATATATTCATTTTCAACTGCTCAGAAGACAAGAATTTCTTTTGGATACATTACTTGATTAATGTTTTTGATCATATGACGAGTTGATGTATCATTCTGATGATCAATAGTTCGACACTTCCACATCATACCAGCTCTTAGTAAAATAAATTCATTTATTGGCTTTATGTGAATATGCATAAAGTGGAGAAATAAATTAAATGGTCTGCCAAACCCAGTAGTTAGCAGTTAATTCGTTCTTACTTTGCTTCCTTGACTTAAAGCTATTTCTTACTTTGCTTCCTTGGCCTAAAGCTATGCTTGCGTTTCTTGTGCTTAGATCAGAGATCTTCGATGAAGAGTCTTTTGATGAGTATATGTATCTTGCAAATTCACCTGCTTTGTCAGCAAGTTTGAGCCTGTACAAGGAGCTTCAGCAACTCGGGTTCACAATATTTGTCTTGACAGGCAGGAGTGAGCCTTTTAGAAATGCTACTGAGGCTAATCTACGGGATGCAGGTTACAATATCTGGGAAAGATTGATCTTAAGGTACGTTTAACATTTAAAGTCAATGCTTCCAGGTTATGATTGTCATATATCACTAATCTGGCTCATTATCGTTTCTTTGTTTGGTTGTTGTAATCAAATAACAGGGGGCCTTCTGATAAAGGTAAACTGGCTGTTGAGTACAAGTCCGAGAAGAGAAAGGAATTAGTGGATGAGGGTTATAGAATTCGCGGCAACTCAGGAGATCAATGGAGTGACTTACTAGGATATGCAATTGCCCAAAGATCGTTTAAACTCCCAAATCCAATGTATTATATTGCTTGATTCTGTATTGTTGTATCTTTTTAGCTGCATTCTGTCATTATATGTAAAATTCAAGCTTTGTCCATCTCAAATCTCAAGATCTTCATTATTTCCAATTATCAGTAGCTTAAATTTCTGTAAAATGGAAAATTGATTGTACAAGGGGAAGTTTGGAGGAAATTCTTTATTTTGAACATGGATATGATCCATAAATAAAAATGTTACAGGGATTGAAGATATCTTTGGAGGCTAGATTGACTTCTATTCAACATAAGAGCGTAAGCTCTCACAAGTACATCTTAACACTAGCAATAGTATGTACCATACTACCCCAAATTACCAATCATTTAAGGGATTGCTCGGAGTAAATACATAGCTTTATTATATTTAAAGCAAGAGAAGATTGAGTTGACATTATTAAGAATTCTTACTCATACTTTGTATGATCAAGTACTTGGAGAAGTAAAAGCGAGGAAGTCTGCATCGGATTGCAAGGCGTCAATCTCTTGCTCTTCTAATAACAACCAAGCTTCTATTCCTCCACAGTCAGGAATCTCAATCAGAATGAAGAGATTCCTAAATTCAAGATTCAGCTTACCACCAGTAGAACCCATCCAAACTGGGATACCAAATCCGAAGTCTGGTTGCACGTCAAGCTTACTCCAACTGGTGAACATGTATCTAGTTATATTTTTATCTTTGCTAATATCTGCCATCTTCTGCGGTCTGCCTGTAGATGTATGGCTTCAGCCCTTTTCTCACCTTGGAACTTCCTTAAAAAATTGGCATCCTTTGCTTCAGATAAACCTTTTCGAGTTTCAGCAACCAGCCCCTAGAGATTCAGCTGACTGGAAGAATGCAGTGGCATGAATGATCAGATTTCCTATGACTGGTTGGGGGTATTGGTGGATTGATACGTGGACGCATGTTCACTGTATGGATCAGCACTGAAGAACCTGCTGATCAGCATTTTATAATACATTATAATCAGTTTTTCATATTCAATTTCTGAAGCAAAATCTTTCAGAATGATAATATAAAATTAATGATGTGAACCGGTAAGTCCAAACATTTACTCACCAGATACCTCAACCTCCGACTTGGCAGCAGCAGCAGCAGTAGCCGCGGTCATTTCATGCTTCCAAATGAAGCCAGAAAGAGCCTCAATCCAAGTTGGAACGGGAACAAGCTCACTCCTAGCAATATCCTGTAATTCAGTTATAGCTTTCGGAGTAAAAATAAGCGCTCTTGCTGCACAACCACTGTCATCTTCCTCGTGATCACCTCCACTAAGAGGCCGAGCTGTTAAAGGCTTCGAACACCTCGGAGTAGCCCAGCTACAGGGAGGAAAAAGAGAGGTTGCGGTAAAAAAGTCCGGGGTAAATTACCTTCTCAAATTGCTCAGCTGAGGGCAGCCCAACTAGTGAGGAAATTACCCCAAGAGACTCCATCAAAGATTTTGTGAAGATATTGGCATCCTAAGCTACCCCTCCGCAGTCAAATGTGCTCATCTGTATTGCTAGTGGGACGAGCTCCAAGGCGTTAATAGAGGGTAGGGATTGGGAGACTGTTTCGACACGATTTGGGGCTTGAAGGAAGTCCTCTAGTGTGATGTTGGCTTGAGCTTCGACGAAGATGATCCCGCTGTCATTGCAATCGACCGTGAATTTGTCATTGGCGAGTCTGCCGGCAAGAGGATAATAAAAGGAGAGTGTCTTGGAGAGAGTTAATATGTTTATATTATCATCTGAGGAGGTTTATTTGTTGAGTAGAAAGTGAGGAACATATGACAAATCGAACAATTGGTCAAGAAGACAAAACTTGTAAGATTCTAGATGAATGGGTGTTGGAGTTGATGGCTTCATCATTTTGGTTGATAGTGTTTGTACTTGTAATGCAAGTGTTTTTTTGCCTATAATCGATGGAGTTAATTGCTTCTTCATCCCTTTTCCTTAAAAAGATGGGGGTTAGATTAAGAGAGGTGCATTATGTATGTCGTCTTTGGTATGCAGTTACTCTAATCATCATCTGTCTGATTTCATAGATTTTAAGGTACAGTATTTCACGAAGAAAAATAATGTAAACGAGACTTGATGGTCAAGTACCAACCACCTTAGTAATTTTAACAAAAAAAATTAGCTGGCCTCTAATGAAATAGTATTTTATACACGAATTAAACATTTACCCTCACTACATAAATTTAAACAAAAATGTCAAATTGAATATTAGAATTCTCATTCAATTAACTAATACTACTCCAATTCCTTCTTTTTGCTGTTTTGATTTACCCGTGATACTAGTGTAATTAAATGATCACCTCTGTACACTACTTTACTCACACATATATTACATTATTTTAATTGCCTAAGTTGTACGGCAAGTATACGTAATTTCTAATTGATGTAATTATGTAAGAACAAAAGAAGAGCCAACATAATCCTATGAATTCAATCCTGTTTTGTTCCCCTTATTATCATATATATGAAAAAAATAAGTTCACATAAGAAAATTTAAATAAAAGATCTCTCATCTCTAAAAAAAAAAAAAAAAAAAAATCATTAAAGGTTTGATAAGACCGGGTTAATAAGGATTACTTAACTTCAATTCACAACTAAACTAAGATCAAATAATTACTCAGGTGAATGGAACTCATTCAACTGAACTGATATAAACCCACTTATTCACTTTATTTAACCTCTATACCTTTCTTCTTCAAAAAAAACCTCTATACCTTTAAGAAACCTAAAATTCAACTAAAAGTAAAAAAAAAAAAAAAAAATAGCCACTTTTCGAATCATTAAGCTAATTGGAAGGGTTAAGAGGCACAAATACCTCAGATCAGGCAACTAGGTAAGTGCTCTACTTTTTTTGGCATTGCTGTTCTATAAATAAAAAATAAAAAGAGAAAAAAAAGGTGCATGCCAAGTCGCCAAGCCACTAAAAATAAGCACATACTCCATGTTGGGTTACATTGGTTAGTCTCATATACTCTAAATGTTTCATCTGCTCTATATAATTGCAATTTTATTTGAACTTTTACTCTTTTACATATTGTATTTTGATTATTTTTAGTGATTTACACTTTAGGAAAAATAAAGTATGTGCTAGTTGAAGCTAGTTGGACTCCCTTGTCAGAGTTGTAGCTTTTGTTATGAATTTCTTTGTGTTATCGAGATTGAACATACACGGCATGATGAGTGCTTCACTGCTCCACTATCTTTGGTGAAGACTTTTGCTACCATTGAGCTGTATGTTGTGAATTGAACCATCGACTTTGAGTTTGAAGATGGTGGTGGGAGGTACCTTCCAAGATGTAAAGATGGGTGATGTTCTGTTGGATGATGACTATGAGGAACAGGTTAAAGGTTCTCGGAATGAAAGATCCCATAAACTGATAGGAAAAAAAATATTCGTATTATAAAAAATTGTAAGATAAACACAAAAACAAGTACGCAACATATACCACTAAAACAACTTTTTGGTGCAACAGGTTACACCGTGTGGCATGGGTTACCTGAGTTATTTAGTTAGGGGTTACCCGAGTTATTCAGTCAGGGATTACTCGAGTTACTCGGTCAGGGGTTACTTGAGGGGTTAGGATAGGGGTTACTTGAGGGGTTCACTCGGTCAAGGGTTACTTGAGGGGTTACTCGGTCAGGGATTACTCGAGTTACTCGGTCAAGGGTTACTCGAGTTACTCGGTTAGGGGTTATTCGGTCATGGGTTACTCGAGTTACTCGGTCGGGGGTTACTCGAGTTACTCGGTTTGGAGTTATTTTAGGAGTTCGGTCAGGGGTTACTCGAGTAATTCGATCAGGGGTTACTTAAGGAGTTCGGTCAGGGTTACTCGAGTTACTCGGTTAGGAGCTATTTTAGGAGTTCGGTCAGGGGTTCCTCGAGTAATTCGGTCAGGGGTTACTTAAGGAGTTTGGTCAGGGGTTACTTAAGGAGTTTGGTCAGGGGTTACTCGGTCAGTGGTTACTTCAAGGTTTAGTCAGGAGTTGCTTGAGGGGTTAATCAGTCAGGGGTTACTCGAGGGGTTCGGTCATGGATTACTCGAGGGGTTACTCGGTCAGGGGTTACTTGAGGGATTACTCGGTCAGGAGTAACTCAAGTAATCCTTGACCGAGTAACTTGAGTAACCTCGGCCGCATAGTACAGCAGGCCGCATACAAAAAATTGTGATACTAAAAATTAATATATGTTAGTTTTAAGATTTCTTTCTATTCATCATTGGCTCCCTTACTACCCATATAAATTCTTGTCCCATTGCTTGTCAATTGTCATGAAGCTGAGACGTCAAGAACATGGACAAGGTGCCAAACCATACGTAAACTAAACAACCGAGTTTAGGTATGATTTTTCAGGATAATTTCACTTTCGGCCCAAATTTTAGATTTAGTTTCAGGGCAGGCTTATTTTTTGGACATATTTTAAAGATAGAGACGATTTTAGTGGGCATATATGGGCTCAGCCCTGATAGGCCCAAATCTGGCTATTTATGTTTCAAAAACTGACCAAGCCATGCCCATTACCATCTCTACAATTTTCTATACTAGATTGTATTCGTGCTAGTTATAAGTATGTGCACACCACTAAAAAATATCTATAATCTATAACTATATATTATATACTAAAAGTGAATAAAAAGTGACACGTCTGGTTAAATAATTTCTCGCCAATTTTTTATTTATTTTTTTTTAATTTTTTTTATTGTCAAAGCATCTTAAAAAGTATTAACTCCGTAATTCCCTTTAATTTTTCTTCCTATTTCAAATCTTCCACACATCTTATATTAAGAAAGAAACTAATTTCAATGCAATGCAATCTTTCCTTCCCAAATCAATAGAAGATTAAGCAGATTATTTAACAAAATTCTTATTGTGCATCATACGACTACAACCTAAAATTTACTATTTTAGAAAATTTTAATGAATGCGGAAAGTTATCATACTTTTTAGAAGAGATTAATTTGTAAAATTGATTTCAAGTTTTTAAATTTTAATTTTTGTGTTGTTTTTTTGTAAATTCTGATATATTTATGATTGTTGAGCTGTTGTTAAAAAAAAAAAAAAAAAGTTCACTTACAGAGTTACAGCCTTACAAGGGAGTGGAGCAGAAGTAGTTAGTAGCTTATAAAAGCTAAAGCCTATTGATGATTATCATATTGGTCGTCTTTCCCTCTTTATAAAGGAGCATAACAAAGCTGAGAAACCGTCCATATCGAAAAGAATTTGATTCCATGAAAACGAATAAACACGAGTAATAAATTGTAAAATAACACGTTGTAATGTCGCAAGAATATATAATCTTCTGAAATTAAAAATCATTCTTCTATACTATAAATGGAGAGTTTGTAGCAGTGTGTTTAGGCATTCATACAATTGATTTCTAATACTATTCATTGTTTATGAATCCATAAAATAATAACCAAATTAAAGATATACTCATTTTGGTAAATCCTATGGCTTCCTTACAAACCATTACTAGTAAGAATTGTCACATAGTGATAGTGCCATACCCGGGTCGAGGTCACATAAATCCCATGTTCACCCTATGCAACCAACTAGTCTCCTCTCCGTCGGGTACAAATTTAAATATTTCATTCACCATCGTACTCACTGAGGAGTGGGTTACTTTGATCAACCCGAATGACAAGCCGGCAAATGCTTGTTTTGCCACCATTCCAAATGTTCTCCCCTCGGAACACATTCGAGGGGCTGACAATGAAGGCTTCCTCCACGCTGTGTACACCAAGATGGAAGAGCACGTTGAGCGGATTCTTGATGCCCTCGAAGCTCCTCCGAATGTGATCATCGCGGATACTTTTCTTCCGTGGGTGGTTGGTGTTGGGACTAGAAGGAACATTCCAGTTGCTTCATTTTGGCCTTTGTTGGCATGCTTGTTTCCGGCTCTTCACCACTATGATCTTTTTGTGAGCAACAATCATTATCCACTGGACTCCTTGATGGGTAGTTTACCTTCTAATTTTGAAATTATTAGGTGCATCTGTGATCACCATGCTCTTTTTGTCCCCAATTCCGAAAAAAAAAAACAAGATTCGATTTCACAATATGTACAATATGTTAAATTTGTTTTATCATATCATCTCTTGTTATTGTTTGTTCACAATAATATGTCGTTTTCTAGTCAACAGGTTAGTTTTAATTTTGTTCGTTAATCTTCGTGGAATACAAGAGCATGATAAAGTTAATTAACTAGTCATGGTTGGACGATTGAACAACTAATTATAGTGTGTTATATAGCACGTTGATCGTGTAAATCAATACATTAGTAAATCTCCTAAAGAGGGCTTCCTAATGATTATTTTTCTTACCTTTTTAAATAATAGTGCATTAGTTTTACAAGATTTCTTATTTGTGAACAGGGGAAAGAGGAGATGAACGAGTAGACTATATCCCCGGCATTGGTTCGACACGTTTAGCAGATCTTCCTCTGGCTCTTCACTCTTACAAGAAAAGGATGTTAGACCTTATGCTGGATGCCATTTCTTACATGCCTAAAGCACAATTCATCATCTTGAGAACTCTCGAAGAGCTCGAAAGGCCAGCCATCGATGCTATGAAAACCATCTTACCCTCTACCTCCATTTACCCTATAGGTCCCGCCATTATTCTCCCAAAACCCGAAAATAACCAAACAAGTGATCATCATTGCCTCGACGATCAACCCGATTACATAAAATGGCTCAACTCCCAACCTGAAAAGTCAGTATTATACGTTTCATTAGGAAGTCATCTCTCACCTTCGATGGCACAACTGGAAGAACTGGCACTCGGCTTGTGTGATAGCCGAGTGCCATTTCTATTCGTAGGCCGAGAAGAAACATCATTTTTGAAGGATGTATGTGGTGATCATAAAGATGGCTTCATAGTCCCTTGGTGTGATCAAATGAAAGTGTTATATCATAAATCTATAGGAGGTTTTCTTAACCATGCTGGGTTGAATTCTGTTCTAGAGAGTGCTTTCGCCGGGGTTCCAATGCTTACTTTCCCTCTGTCTACTGATCAACCCATGTATAGCAAGTTAGCCGTCGAAGATTGGAAGATTGGGATGAGGTTAAGGGATAAAATCGAAAAGGATATCTTGATTAAAAGAGAGAAAGTTAAGGAGCTTGTGATCAAGTTTATGGATTTCGAAAGCGAGGAGGTTAAAGAGATGAACAAGAACTCTAAGGAGTTTAAGCAAGTGGTTTGGGCAGCAATTGCTAAAGATAGCACGGCAGAACACTATGTTGGGGAATTTCTATCAGAGATTTCTACTAAAAATGCTACTAATTAAGCGCTAACTTTACTTTCTTTGCTTTTGTTTCTATTTTCTGTTGCACTATCAGCTTATATATCTTTATGTAAGCATTATAATGGGTTGTGATTCCTTTGGTTTGTATTTTCATGAAGAGTGTGTATCAGTGTGCTACTGCACGTTGGAAGAGCTTTGTTTGTTTTTTAAAGATCATTAATAAAACATTTAAGTTTGAATGGATACTAGAAATTAACTGAGGGGATTACTATCTCCCTATCATAATGTTATTAACATTTTGTAGTACTTCTTCTGTTCTTTTATTGTCGCATCATATATATTGGGTATAATTTTTTTTTGGTAGTGGAAAAAAGGAAAAGAGAGAAGGGTAAAAGTACAAATTGACCATGTGATGTAAGCAAAGACTAAAGAATCAAGTATTAAAATAAGGGTATATTGGTTATTTGCAATGTGAACAGTGACATGTGAAAAACTTCCTTAAAACGCAAGTGGTGCAATATTTAAAAAACAAAGGAAGTATGATATTATTGCAACTCCACTATCTTTTGTAATTTATGCTCAAGCTAGGAAAAACATTATCATGTGGGTCTTGTTAGATTTGCCTCAATCGCGATTTTTCTTAAAAAAAAATCATTTTACATGTACACAATTGAAAATTCTATTATACACTAGGGTTCACCAAATGGTATACCCTGCATGCCGTAATTTTTTTTTTTTAAATAAAAATTTATGGTTCTGATTCCTTAATTAAAGCATTCTATTATTCTCTTGCTGTTACAAGGCGATGTTCTTTGTCTAATAAACTGGTATTCTTCCACTTTTTTTACTTGTTTCGAGGCCTGCATTTCATGTTCTTTTGGCTATGTTTTGATCCAGGTGTACCATGCGCATGGTACACCTGGGTGTAGCAACCACGCATTGGTACACAATTAGTTAGAGATATAGATGCATATTACGGAGGGATTTTGTCTGCGTATAATTGCGACGGGCTCATGACTCATACGCACGGAAGGTGTCGAATACGATGAACCTCGACGAGTTCGTGACGAGAGATTCCATCGTAACTGTTCTATTATGACAGCCTAATTAATGACGCTATTTTTCATCGTTATTAGCACCGCACCTTTTCTTGCAATGACAAAAACACAAATTTTACTTGGTTCAGTAATGATGAGTTGATTATGAACAAGTGAGAGGAGAGCTTTTTATTGACCTTGAGCAAAACCCCCCGTCGCCATAGTCGTTCAAAGGGCTAATTTATTCAAATCATATTATTTTAACAATATGCACATTGAATACCGTGCAAAAATCAATTAGATATTAGGTTGAATATTAAGGAACAATCAATCAATAACAATATACTAAAAGACACACCAGTAATGACACATGTCATCTTCCGGTATGTCCTTAGTATTTATTTATTTATTTTTTGCTGAATGAAATTCAATTAAAGAAACAAATCTTATAAAATATAATTCCCTAATCTTATACAATATAATTACTTAAAATAAAAAAAGATTTGACATATGTTTAACACAAATATTTATATAGCTATAAAAAAGTTATTAACATAATTTTAATCATTCTACATCATTTTATATCTAACATATCTTTTGTAATCCTTTATTATAATCAAAATTTGTCAACTATATATATATATAGAATGTTTATAAAAAAACTAATTATAATCGTAGTTTAATAATGGTTATTGAAAATTACCGTGCATGGCACGAGAACTAACCTAGTAAAAGGGTATTGTTAAGCCATGACCAAAAATTTGTCACGATTAACTCAACTTAGGTATTATTGATTATTGGCAACTAAATCAATTAAGGATAATACTTCCTCAATTTTTTTAATTGCATCATTTGTTGTTTTGGAAAACTACATATTAATTGCACTATTTTGTTATTTGGTACTCCGTATGCTTTATTGACTTTATACTTGTGTTCATACACCAAATACACACCCTGACGACCCTTATAAATATATGATAACAACTAATGTTATCCCCTCTTTTTCTCTCTCATTTGCTTGTATCATATGGGCAATTTTGACATGCCCCATATTTTAAATAGTATGGTTAAAAAAAACTAGAGGATGTACAACACAAGTAACAAAGGAGTACAATACATTTCTATAGCAATATAAAAATACCTTCATAGTCGCCCTCTTTAGGGCAAGATTTGTATTCAAATCGCTAATCCCCGGATTATTAAAACTACAACATACCAGTTATACATTTATTAGGGTACATTTTTTTTTTTGAAACATTTTATTAGGGCACATAATTATAGTATTAATACTAGTCAGGTCCACTTATTAGTGTAACCAAATAACTCTTGACCACATCAGGCATAGAGGTGAGGGTAGAGGAAGAGGAATTCTTGAGCAACCTTATGTATGTTCTTGAGCTCTTCTTGCCCATATTTAACATCCTTTTCTGTAGGCATGACATCTTTTTTGGGATGGAAGTGGCCTGTCATCTTAAAATGACTACCGGTAATCGAAGGTTCGATCTTGACTTCATACTCAATATGATCCCATTTGTCCCCAAGAATGTCACCTTCAATTGTTGAGTACTTGATGTAGAAGTTATCACTATCGATTTCATCCACTTTGTTCTTCATATAATTGAACGGATGCCCTGCAAATTTAAAATATCATCAAATAAAGACTTGTATAATTTAAGATGTCATTTGACTTAGATGGTATGTAAAGTCATGCAAATGATACTTTTATAGTTTTATATGATCCTAGATCAGGTTTCGTCTACATCAATTTTTATGTCGTGGCTCCAAAAAAAAAAAAAAAAAACCCAATTCTTTTCTTAATTATCTTAAATCTTCAAGGTCAATATAATGAAAATTGTGATCTATATACGTAAATTGGTTTATTACTCATGCTATAAAACAAAACAACAAAGATAAAACCATACCTTTTGGAAACTTGATTAGCTTGACACTCCCAACCGTAGTAGAGTCGCCAACAAGGTATTGAATGGTCTCAAATGACTTAGGGAGGTACTTCGGTAGGAAGTTGAGATCGTCGAGAAAGTGAGCCGCGAACAACCGGTGTCGTTCAGCTGGGCTAGTGTAGTCAGCAATGGTATGAGTGTAATAGCAACTACCCTCATAATTCATATTAGTCCCATATTTATGAAGAATGGGACTATAAGTTGGTCCAAGAACAGATAACTCACAATTAGACACCAAAATGCCACTACTATCAGCACATAACCAATCTCCATCCCTAATCAAAGTTCCACCAAAATGAACCGTAACATTCTTCTCACCCCCTCCTTTCTTGGAGGACCTCACCGGGACACACCCTAAGGCTCGAATCCCGATATCAATCGAATTGATCTCATCAATGTCTCTTATGCACCCATTTACAACTATCCCAGCCCACCCCATGTTATGTCCCATCTGGGCTAGAACACTTCCTACCATTGACCGCCTTAGGCTTCCCCCTGCATCGATGACTAGGACATTCGGCTCGTGCAACTTGTTTGCAAATATTGCTTCCACCACCACTGCATTGTCCTCGAATGACTTCACGGTCACCACACGGCCACTGAAGGCTCGACGAAGGCCATATGGTTGGAAGATTTGGTTAACGACTCGTAGCTCACCCGTGGCTAGGAGAGGAGAGTTAGCATCGCAAACATCAGTGGTTTCGGTTGGAGTTTGGGGCCATTGTAAAGCAGTGACACCATTTCCATTCATTAAGTATCCCATTTTTTTTTTATTTTCCAAATGCACACAAAAATAATCAAAGTTTACGCTCTAATTGAGTTAATAATGAATATAAGCTAAGAAAAATGTTACACAAGTATTTTGGGTTATTTTTTTGAAGACAAAGAACAACTCAATCAATTATTAAATGCTACTTATGAGTTGTGATGCTAATAAAATGGTCGGGGTGCTCTCGTTTATATAGCGTCATTCGCCATGATATACCATAGTATATAATAATACGCATAATTACTTTATCATTTGATCGTTATTCTCCATCACATATCCACATATGCTTTTTCAATGTTCCTTTATTTTTAATAATATCGTGTGTTAATAAAGCTATGTATAGTTTGATGAGTTTACAGAAGTATATACTCTACAGGAAATTAAACATTAAACAATTCAAACGAGATCACATGTGAAACTTTTTTTTTTTTTTTATAAATAATTCTTCGGTTTTATAGATTTATAACATTACCCCTAAGTAACTCACAAAAATGACTTTTCCACCCTTTGACAAAATAAACAACTTTTGTTTACAAAGAATATTAACTTGTACTTTCTCTAGGTTTAGTTAGATTTTTACGAAGACATATGAAGTAGTTTGTAGAAGTTATGTAATATGTAGCATCATATGGCAAGGATGACATTTGAAAATTCTTATATATACTTGAGTGCAAAATGCAGTCAAGGTTATTATTTTGGAAAAATTGCTTTAAATAATACCATCTTTCACCCGTCCGCTAGAAACAAGTTGACCTTTTGATTATCTCTAAATAATACCATCTTTGGAGGCTGTCCGCTTTAAACAAGTCATGACCTGTTGTTGACTTGATTAATAGGTATATGGGACACGTGTCAATGTTTGATTGGGTTAAAAAAATTAATTTTTTTTTATTTAATATTTTAATTTTTAATAGGTAATAATATTAGTTATTATTATTATTTTTGTAAAAAAAAAAAAAAAAAAAAATAACCCCTTCCCCCACCAGCCACCCCTTCCCCTCCCTGCCAAGGCTTCCATCACCTCTTCTCGGCCGTCCGGCGCCACAACCTCCTCCTCGCGCCGGAAAAGCCCACCCCAGCATCCCGCCCCTCAACCCTATCGCCCCTTCCCCTCGCATCCATAGCCACCCCCACCCTCATCCCTGTAGCCACCCGACCCACCCCCACCCTCATCTCCAAAGCCACATGAAACCAACCCCGAAACCTACGCTAAACATCTCGAAACCTAACAATCGGCCATGGGATGGGTTTTTTGGCGGTTTTTCGATAAGGTGGGTGGGTTTTTTCTGGAATTCGAGGGGTTGGGTGTTCAATTGGGTGGTCGGAATTCATGGAGGAGAAAGGGAAGGGAAAAGGAAAGGGGATTTCAAGTGGGTTTCGAGTAGGGGTTTCAAGGGAAAGTGGAAGGGCGGCCGAAAACAAAGGGGAAGGAGGATTTTTGGAAATGGAGGGGATGGGGGGACTGCCGGAAATGGAGGGGATGGTGACTGCCATTAATGGAGGTGAAGGGGGAGGGGCTGTTAAAGGTGAAGAGGGAAGGGGAGGATCGACGGTCGACAACATGGGTGGGGAAAGGAGGAGGTTGCAGTTGGTACCGGCCGGATTTCGCTCTGTAGTGACAGTAGCCAAACGTGGGTGGGCGTATGGTCGGTGAAGTGACTGGCTACATGTGGCTGGGCTTTGTCCTGGCTGCCGTTGCGTGCGTTGGCTGGAGTCTTCTCTGGCTGACGTGGCAGCACAACAGATTTCAAAAAAAAAATCATTTATTTTAAAAATAAAAATCAGTTTTAATTTTAAAAGATATTATCAAAATATTTTAATTGTAATTAACAATCATTAAAGTTGTTATTAAGAGTTAATTACATTATTAAACGAAGTTATTAAAAAAAAATTTAACTGGTCAGTCAGGTTGCAGGTTAAATAACTTGTTTAAAGCGGACAACCTCCAAAGGTGGTATTATTTAGAGATAATCAAAAGGTCGACTTGTTTTTAGCGAACGGGTGAAAGGTGGTATTATTTAAAGCAATTTTTCCTATTATTTTTTGTACGTGTGCTATTTGATGATTAAATGAGTAATAATAATTCTTTAATCATTAAATTATACCCTTTGATGCTCCTTATAATAACATTTGGATTAAAATAGGACACTACTAGAAAACAGCCGATTTTCGACGGACATGAAAATCCTTCGAAAACACGATATTTTCCGACGGAATAAATATCCATCAGAAATTTCGGACGGAATTTAAATCCATCGGAAAATATTTCATTTTCGTCGGAAAATACATATTTCCGACTAAATTAAATTCCGTCGGAAATTTCCAACGAATTTTATAGCCATTTCCGATGGAATTAAAGAAAAAAAACCACAAAACCCTCATTTAATGTCAGGGTCGCCCCTCCCCTTCATTTCTCATTTCTCCTTTCTCTCACTACAACAAAAGAGGGCTATAGCAACACACATTTTTGCAACAGTTTTATTAGCGTTGCTATAATTTGACATATGCCAACAGTTTTTAATTTATTGATATAACTAACCATTTTCGTTTAAAATTTGTTGCTATAAGAAAAAAAATGGCAACGCTTTTAATGAATAAGTAAATGATATTATTTGACAACGGTTTAACCATGGATGCTAATTAATATTGATGATTAATGATTGATTAATTCATTAAATAATTTCTGAATTGAAAAATAAAAATAACTAATACCGATCAGAGTACTTGTAATGATTAAGCGGTTTTTTGGATACATGAAAATTCTGGGAACATGAAAATTTTCAATTAAGCGGTCAATTTTTTCCCCCTTTCTTTTCCTAATTCACAAACCCTCTCCTAATTAATTCACAAACCCTCTCTTATTTTCATATAATCTCGCTCGTCATCTAGCTCTTTCTTTTCATTTCAATTCCCTCTGTTCTTCCCCCAAAATTCTTAAATCAGCCCTCTCTTATTTTCGCACATAAATTAGGGTTGATTATCGTACAATCTCGCTCGTCATTCATCATAGTCCAATTGCAATTCTTTGTAGGCGACTTGAAACTGCTCGAATCACAGTTTTACCGAAATTTGTTTGCTCTCAAGACTAGTGAACAAGGTTAGTATGTAATTTAGTTGTATAAATTGATATATTCTTGAATAACTTTTCTCCAATTTGATTTTGATATCACAATTATGTAGTTGGAACTTATGGGTATTGAATAGGGGGTTTAGGGTTTGGTAAATTAGGGAATTGTATGATCTGATTATAAGAGTTTATATAATTCAATTTAGTTTATAGATTTATTATGAATTACCGTAGAGTTTTGTTTCCTGTAAATTAATGTGTTTTCTTGGTGAGTTGCATGTTGCTAAATCCAATATATAGAGTAACAGACAAAGACGAACAATTCAATTTCTAAAACCTTGGTGAGAGACTTCTTTTTTAGCTATTGATATATAAGACATCCCTAAAGCAGTGTATATATTTGGGTATCATATTTAGTCTTAAATAGAATTAGTGATTATTGAATCATGAAAAATTGTAGTGAATTTGGTTATGGAATTGATTTTCTTGTATAACGATTTATGGAATTTAATTATTGAAATTTTAGTAATTTGTGAAGATTGAGGTTATATGTTATGATTAATGGGAGTTAAGTTTTAGTCCTTTCTCAACTGTATTGTTTCCAGTCTGCTTCCTTGAAACATGTGAAATTCCATAAAAGTGGTGTCATGCACAATAATGTGTTCGCGACCGCATCCAAAATTCAAAACCGTGCTGCTGACTTATTGCAATCTGAACAACCAATTTCATGATTGATTGAGTCTCTCTAATGCTTAGCGAAGTGGGTAGAGTATGGGGTAGAGAAAAGTAAATGGATTGGCTGAAGTTATGTGATGTATTTGCAAGAGACAGTTCTATATACTTTGATATAGGGAGGTCTAAATTTATTGAAGGCATCCTTTGCTGAAAGATTCCAGCTAGAGCATTAGTGTGGCTGCTGGGGCATAGCAACCCTTTACATTTACAAGTGTGGCTAGAATGAGATATTGAATATCCAGCCAGCCAGCCTTATAAATTTTCAGAGTGAGGGACTGAATCTTTGTGAATTGCACTCGTCAATATCATTCAGTGATCTCCAACTTCTAGAATATAAAGTTGCATTAGCATGCAAAAGTACCCTAGTTGTTATTATTTTTTTTTTCGAAATATCTTCTTCATAGTAGCTAGTAACCATGCATATGAAATTTTGGTATGTTCTGTATACTGAAATAATTTAACGATTTTAGGTTTTCTTTTTAGTACTTTTGACAAGGACCTTGCTTTTCTGTTTACTGGAGTGCTTTATAGGTTTTGTGATGAATTAGCAAAATATCAATTAACCATACTCATGGGAAAGTTTGTGGATGCTATTGACTTTGTATTTTTGCTCTATGTTTCCTATAATTGCTAATTTGTGATTAGTAACATTAGTCAGTTTCCACTTGCCTATAATTGCTAATTTGTGATTTTCTTAGTGTTCTTTTTAAAAAAAAAAGTAGAATTGGGTCTTATACGAGTGAATGAGTGATTGAATAAGTAGATGTTAATTGGCTTAAAGGCTGTAATTTAAATAAGCTATTCTCATTCTTGTTAATCAGCAGCTCTGTTTCAGCGTGTTACTTACTTAGCTTGCAGCATGCGTGTGTCTGTTTTTGTTGTTGTTTGGATTTGGGTTGGCTGCTGCCTGTATTGGCTTCAGGGTGCTGCTGTGTTTGTCGCCTGCTTGGGGTCAATTGATGTTCTTCTTGGGTTTGTGAAGCTGGTCTTTTCTAGGTTTTTGTTCTTGGTTTGGGGGCTTGGCCTGTTGTTTGTTGCCAGGCAGCTTGTTGTTGTTTTCTTCTTATGTTGTCTGTTGGTTTTAGCTAGTTGTGTGTTTTCTGGGCTAGTTGTGAATTTGCTGGTGTAGGTGGTTGGGTTTGTTTTTTGTTGCGGCTTGTTTTTTTTTTTTTTCTGTGTATGAGGCTGTGTTGGCCTATGTACTTGGCGAGGGCTTGCCCTCCTTCCTTTGGTACCATAGAGTTAACTAATATGTGTACGTGTTTAGATATCATAGATGATCTTTATATGTATTTGCTTCAGATTTCTATTTTCATCTTTTGTACTGTATATTTTTCCAATTAATATCTATCAAATCTATTCTTTCATTTTATAATATAGATGATCTCTAAATTTAGTTGCTTGTGTAATTTAGGAATTGACATAAATTAAGTTATGGATCAAAACTGGATGAACTATCCTAAAAGTTCGGAGGACTTTAAAGTTGCTTTGAATTTTTTTTTTGATGATTATTTTGCGAAGGACGCCATTGTAGATCAAATATTTTGCCCTTGTACAACGTGTTCGAGGCGTTTTTGCCATTCTAGAGATGACGTTTATGATCATTTGATTGTTAAAAAGATCCTAGCTTAACTCCAGAAATTATTGCAAAAGCCATCGTTTCAACGACTATAAATGATCCATAAACTATGTTATTTAAGATTATGAACTGGTATGTTATTCCATTTTACATGTTATCTTCCTTTTCTCTTTTTCTACTTTTACATTGTTACATGTGATTGAAGAATTTGAAATGGTGTATTATATGATCTGAAGTTCTAAACAAAATAAACAAACTACAGATAAGCAGCGTGATTGTTGGGCATCTATACTAGTTAACTTAAAAGGTCTTTGGTTGCCGAGTCGGATGTCAGACCAAAGATCATACTTAGGTGCTTTGAATTATATATTTTTATGTGTGTGCATATGCTAAAAAAGGCCTCGGAATTGAATAAGTAGGAATTTATGACCATGATATTAAAATATTTTAATTTGTAGGGTGTTAAGAAGCTCATATATGCATGCCAGTGATTTACAGATTTGTTCAGTATTGTTCATGTACTACTTTGTGTGGTATAATGGATAATCTAGAAACTGGAGTTTTGTGTTATTAGTATGTGCTTACTGGCATTATTGCTTAGAAAATTATAAGATTAAAAAAACTCAATCTCTTCCTTCTCGAAATTAGGCATTAAAATTTATGATGCTAGCTTAGCCAAATTGTTCTAGTGTTTTGATAATGAGTCTCTATGATTACACAAATTTATGATCCTTTGATGTTACTTCCTTATACTCTTGTGATGTTGCTACGGTACCTGCTTCTTGCCTTTTTTAGATGAAATATTTTTTTATTTTCATTATCCACTCACTACAATCGTAATTTCTAGTGTTTTGATAATAATGTTCCATAAATAATTCATTTGGGATTTATTTTTTTTAATTAAAAATATAAGTCTTATTATTATTATTATTATTATTATTATTATTATTATTATTATTATTATTATTATTATTATTATTATTATTATTATTATTATTATTATTGTTTTGTAGGATACTATATATATCCAAGTATGAAATGCTCCATCAAACATCTAAAGATCTATTGGACTTTGAGCAAAAAAATTAGATTGGTTTTTGAATTTGGTTTTGGAATTTTTCTTAGTTTAATGTATGAAATATTTAGATTGAATTGTTTTTGTTGTTTGTAATAAATATTTAGCTTATCAATTACAATGGATTTGAATTAACTATGTAGAACTTTTTATGGAGAACTTATTTCTAAGTGAAAGTTTATCGATCATATGCTATTTAAACAAGTCACATATTATATGCATTATTAAATCTATTCCTTTAATGCCAAATTAAAAGCGTTGCCATTAACAGGCTTAAAAGTGTCGCCTTAGTTTCAATTGGAAGCATTGCCATAAATAAAATAAAGTGTTGCCTTAATTTTAAACGCCAACTAGTATCAAGCTAATAAGTGTTGCTTAAAATTAGCGAAAATTGTTGCTTTAACTTTGAAAATGTTACCTGAAGTTGTTGAATAAGTGTTGGCATAAGTTAAAAAGTGCTACCTAAGAAAAGCGCTGCCATAATTATTTACAGCAACAGTTTACAATAAATGTTGCCTAATGCATGAAAGTTGTTGCCAAAGAGTTTTAGCAACGGCACCTATTGGTAACGGTTTATAATCCGTTGCTATAGGCATATGGCAACATTAATTGGACATATGGTAACATATTATTGTCGTTGCCATAAGTCTTTTTTCTAGTAGTGTCTCTCCTCTCCTCTTCTCTTTCTCTCTCCTTTTCTGGTCTCTTTCTCTTTCCCACGCCCCTTTTTCACTTCTTTTCTCTCCTTTTCTCTTTCTCATCATTTCAACAAACAAATTAAACAACAATGGATGCCCTACCACCGTCACAGCAAACGTCGGCACATGATTTTCTTCTTCCACCCCTCTTTCCCACGCCCCTCTTCTCAACATTTTCAATAATGGTGTTGATGCTAAACAAACTAATGGTTTTTTAGGTCAAATTCGACCATGAAAATTCCAGATCAAGACTTTTCATGGTCGAATTTGGCCTTATTAAACCAAATTCAAGATGAAATTCGACCATGAAAGGTATGTTTTTCGTGTTTTTATCTTGTTCTTTTGTTTTTGTGTTTTTTTTTTTTTTGAATTTTGGGTTGTGGCGCGTGGTGAATGGGGATATGGTAGCTGGTGGCGTGGTGTTTGTGTTTTAATTTTAATTTTTTTTTTGTTTTTGTGTGGGAATCTGGTGGTTTTAATTTTTTTGGTTTTTGTATCTGGTGGATTTAATTTTTTTTTTTGTTTTTGTGTGGGGATCTGGGGTCGTGGATCTGGTGTTAGTGTTTTTAATTTTTTTTTGTTTTTGCGGTGGTCAGTGGGGTTCGGTGGGTGTATGGATTAGGTCATCAGTTAGGGCTTTTGAGGTTGTTGGGTTTATTGTGCTGTTGGTTGGGTTTTCGGGGTGGTTAGGACTTGGGGAGGATTTTTCGGGGTATTTGGGTGGGGGTGGGGCTACTGGGTTATGGTGGTTGGAGGTTGGAGGTGGTGATAGGTCGTGGCGGTCACTACAAGAAAACAACCAAATTTCGACGGACACATATTTCCGTCGGAAATTCCGAAATTTCCGACGGATTTTTATTCTGTCGGATATTTTCGACAAATTAAAACAATTTCCGACGGAATATTAATCCATCGGATTATATGCATTTTTCGACGGATTAAAAAACCTAACCTCTTATACCGTAATTCGCCAGCCCCCGCCCCCCAGTTCATTTCAGAATTAAAAAGAAAACCTAACCTCTTATACCCTAATTCGCCAGCCCCCCAGTTCATTTCAGATTTTTCTCTCTCTCTTCTTCTCCTTTCTTTCTCCTTCTCCTTTCTCTCTCATCTTCTCCGATTTCTCTCTCCTCTTCTCTAGTTTCTCTCTCCTTTTCTCCAGTTTCAATTCTCTCTCCTCTTCTCCTCCTGCTTCCTTTCTCATTCTCCTGTCTTTGTCCTTCTCTTTGTCCTCTCCTCTTCTCCGTTTTTCTCTCCTCTCTTCTTCTTCGTTTTCTCTCTCCTCTCATCTTACTCTCTATCTCCTATTCCCGCCGCTCAAACAACCATGAACGCCTCTGTTGCCGCTCAAACAACCATGAACGCCTCTGTTGCCGCTCAAAAAACCAACTGCAATTTGAGGGTTTGTAATTTTTTAAACAAACTAATGGTTTTTCATGGCCAAATTCGACCATGGAAACTCTAGATCTAGAGTTTTCATGGTCGAATTTGCCATAAAAACCCAAATTCGAGGCCAATTTAAGGTTTTTTTGGTGGAATTGAAGGTATGTCTTCGTTTTCTTTCTGTTAATTTGGTTTGATTTTTTTTTTTGGTGGTGGTTGAATTGTGGTCGTGGTGGTGGGGATCTAGGTAAATTAACTGGTGGTTTTCGTAGTAGGTGTGGTGAGTTTTGTGTAATGGGTGGTGGGTAGATTGGGAAATGGTAGTTTTGGTTGGTTTCGGCGGGGAATGGTGGTTGTGGGTGGTTTTGGTGGTGGTTTGGGAGGGTGGGGAATGGCGAGGTGGGTGGTGGTGGTTTGTAGATCTGGCGGCTAGGAGAGTATTTGGGTGGTGGGTTGAGGATGCGGGTTAGGGTTAGGGTGGTGGGGAAGGGATACGGGTTAGGGTTAGGGTGGTGGGTGGGTTTTTCGAGGCAGGTGGTTTGGTCGAAAAACGGGTTGGGTTGGTGGTTTGGTAGAAAAAGGGGTTGGACATGGTGGTGGTGGGTGGTGGGGTGGGGTGAATTTTTTTTTTTTTTTTTTAACTTTTTAAAAGCATTTTCCGACAGAATTTCCGTCGGAATTTTCTGGCGGAAAATTATTCCGTCGGAAATTTCCGACAGACTTTTCTGGCCGAAAAATCTCTTACGACGCCTGAATTCCGTCGAAAAAGGTCATTTTTCGACAAATGCTCTTACGATTACTGTTTTTGGCGGAATTTTGTCGGAAACACGTTTTCCGACGGAAATTAGGGTCTTTTCGACGGAATAATTCCGTCGAAAATCGCTTGTTTTCTAGTAGTGGGTGGTTGTTTTTTTTTGCTTTTTTGATAGGAATTTCCAACAGATTTTTTGTCGGAAATTTCCGGCGAAAAACTACCTGTCGGGTATTTCCTACGAACTTTCGGGCTGAAGAAATCTCTTCCGATGCTGAAATTTCGTCGGAGAACCATTTTCGGCGTAATTTCCATCGAAAAAGGTTGTTTTTCCGACAAATAGGTTTCCGATGACCAATTTTCGACGGAATTTCGTTGAAAACGGGTTTTCCAACAGAATTATTCAATCAGAAAAAGGTTGTTTTCTAGTAGTTGGAATTCCCCTTGTAAGCTGAGGAGGCTAAGGTATCCTAATGATTTTTTTTTTTTTTTTTTTTTTTGGGGAGTGACGTTTCCAGCAAATGATTATTTTCTTTATTTATTAAGGAAAAAAAATTATTAATTTAGAGGATTGAAGATTGAGTTGTACATGTAAAACATACATACATGAGGGTATTGATGTATTATATTCTTGTATAGAAATAATAAAACACTAAAGAATATAAAGTTTTTTTACGGTATAAAGTAATAAAACGCATTCTCCTGTTAGGCCCCGTTCATTTCACCTTATTTTTGCTGAAGTAAAATTAATTTTGCTGAACAAAAATTAATTTTGCTGAACTTAAATTATTTTTATTGAACTGAAATTAATTTTACTGAACTTAAATTAAATTTGCATGCTTAACTTAAATTATTTTTACTGAACTGAAATTATTTTTACTGAAATGAAATTAATTTTGCTGAACTGAAATTATTTTTACAAATTCTCTACTATATTTCTTCTTTAGAGTTAATGATTTTTTCTGGACTAAAATTATTTTTATTGAATTGAAATTAATTTTACTGAACTGAACTTATTTTTTCTGAATTAAAATTATTTTTACTAAACTGAAATTATTTTTACTGAATATTTTTTTTAAGGTGAACTGAACAGGGCCTTATGGAGGAAATAAAAATTTCCTCAGGCACACACTATTCGTATTTTATTAATAGGATTGATTCTCGTTTTGAAAGAGAGGATTGATTCTTAATATATAATGTACTTATTAAAAGTCGACTTTTGTTCCTCCAAAAAAAACGTCTTTATTTGTTTTAATTTAGGAAAATTGGTCTTTTTTTTTTTTGAAAAAAGGAAAAATTAGCTTAAAATAATCCCAACATTAGCAATGTGTATAAAATAATACGATATTAACTATTTGCTATCAACGACATCACCTAAATCGGCCAATGGAGAAGGTATCTTGAGAAATATTCCGTTCATATTTATCATTATATTTATATTAAATATTACTTTTTTGGTTTTAACATATATACTATGTTAATAATTTTCTTACTACCCAAATTAATAATGCCTTACCCTTTTAATTTGTTAGGATAGCTAGTTAAGTTAAAAAAAATTCTACTATCACACAAAATTATGTAAATAGAATATTTAAATGCATTATTATATTGATATAACTGGTTTTAAAAATTGGTTTAAAAACCATAAATAACGAGCCTAACAAAGGGGTGAAGCATTATTAATTTGGGTAGTAAGGAAACTATTAACATAATGTATTTTTAAAAAAATAATATTTAATACAGTATAAGAAATAATATAGAGGGAATATTCCTCAAGATACCTTCTCTGATGTACCATTTTGTACATATAGTACAAAAGGTAGTACTATTAATAACAAATAACTGAGGTTGTATTATTTGGCATACACTGTTAATAGTTTTGATTATTTTAAACCAATTCTCCTTTAATTTATGGGCATTTATGCAATCCATAGACCACTCAAATTTGTATAGTCTCAAAATTTTGCGGTATATATATATATATATATATATATATATATATATATATGTATATATATATTTGGATTTGTAAGTTGTTTGATATAAGACCAAATAAGTTTTGACTCACTTAGTAAAAAACTTGCCTTATTAGGTTCTAGAAATAGTGTAGGGTTCTCATATTTTACCATGGGAGAGTAGCTGGAATCATCATACCTTACCCCTATTTTTTCGTATATGACCTTTAAAATTTAGACTGAAAAGCTGTGAAGGCGCTTATAAAAAATACTTCCTCAGTTTTACTTTTTTATTTGCAACGTTTGAAATTTTATACTATTCACACGTATTCCTTTAATCGTCTTTTGTTA